TTCAACGCAAATACTATTACCTCTTACAGAAACAAGTCAAAATTCAGAAAGACGCAAGGAACACTTTTTCAAAACTCAAAACGTTTTAAATTCAAATATGACTACAGAAGACATTTCTAATTTAAACGAATTTGAACATTTCCTGTCTGATAGTAGAATAAATATATCTTTTGATGACTATTTGTTAGCCCTTAGGTCAAGTTTAACAAAACCCAAAATTTTTCTAAAAAGAAAATTACAGGATCGTTTTATAAACGCTTATAATCCTCTGATTTTATAACTCCATAGAGCAAATATGGATATCCAGTATATACTGGATGCATATGCTTGCTGTTAAGCAAAAACTTCAACATAACACACAAACGTCACAAATTTATTTCAGGCACAGAAATATCTGCACAAGAAGCAGTATATTGCTGCATTGGGCTCCATTTTTCGGAAGCAAGTAATGCATAAATATTTATAAATACCTCTCGACCTGAGGAACGTATTCGAATGGTAAAACCTAGAGCGGAACTTCAGAACCTTCCGTCATGTTCGACTGAAATATTCATAGCCGGTATTTTAGACCGTTATGTTCAAAGATCCGATCAGTTAGAAACTCTTTGTTTAGCTGATTTTGCATCTAGGTATAAATATTTTAAATCTAGTAGAAGAGCACAATACAGTGATTATGAAGAAGAAGAGAGGGAAGACGATAATTTACCAGAAACCGGGGTTGTCATGCCTCTTAAAGACGGTAGCAGTTTTGTTATAAAACGTACCAAACTTTGTATAGTTCGGTATAGAAGGTTTACCCCATACTTGACCAGAGTTGAGTATTTCCGCGAAATGGTAATGCTTTACTATCAATGGCGGAATTAACAGCAAGATCTCATTGAAAACGATAATGAGCAGACTTGCATAACACATCGTATTCTAATTGAGGAAAATTAAAGAAAATATGATGTTTTTGAGCAAAGAGAACTTGAAAATTTCTAGAAGTTCTTTATAATGAAATAGACTTAGAGGAAGGTGCTCGAAATGAACTACCTATCGTGGAAAGTGAGTTCAGAGTGTTGGCACATCCAGAAATAAACCCAAATATAAATTTGCCGGACTTGCAGGATGAAGATTCAACAGATAATGGCACTGAATCTGATTGCAAAATTAGACTTATTAAACTACCCCTTTTAATTCCAGTTGAGAAATTATTTTCTATAGTTAAAAGTCTAAATACTTGGTAAAGAACATATTTGGCACATTTGATGCCCCAGCTAAAAACAAATCGCCCATTTTCTGATTTCATTGGCGGCGGTGCAGGTGTAGGAAAGAGTAGTTTGATATCTGCAATATATCAAGCACTTAACCATCGTCACAATTCTACACCTGGATCCAATCCAGTTCCTTAAGAGTTCTTCTTTGCGCACCTACGGGTAAAGCAGCATTCGGAATAGGTGGAAAGACCCTTCATTCAATATTCTCTTTACTTGTTAATCAGTTGAATAGAGAGTTGAGGCCACTTAGCAATGACACAGTTATTTCATTGTATTCCAAACTTATCTATTAAAATAAATATTAATTGATGATATATCGATGGTAGGTGCTCGTATGTTTAGCTCTGTTTATGCGAGATTAAAACAAATTTTCAAAACGGACAGCCCCTTCGGTGGTATACCGATCGTAGTGTTTGGTGATTTGAAGCAACTTTGCCTGTTGGAGATAGGTGGATATTCTCTCCCAATCCCAATGATGCATACAGCACATTAGTTGGTGCCCCTTTGTGGGAGTTATTTAAATACTTGGAATTAACGGAAATAATGAGACCACGAGAGGATCAGGCCTTTGCAATTGCATTAAACCCTATGGTATCTGGTACTATGACAAATGAGGACATATCACCCATTGAAACTCGAGTAGTTAATTTCGAAGAAGTTCCCAATGATGCCATACATTTATTTTGGTCCAATGTAGAGACAAATAATTTCTAGTCGAATCTCCACTGAAGTTATCCTTTCAACTGTAAAAGACTCAGTTAAAGGAATTGGTATGAGTGAAAATTAAAATATTTTTCAAAGAGTTAAACTTTACAAAACTTCTGAAACGCAAGGACTGCCCTATGAATTGACACTAAACACCTCCGCCAAATATTATATATGATTACGGTGAATATAAATACCTGTGATGGCTTGGTTAATGGGACAGCTGGACAACTTATGCAAATTGATTTCCGTTGTTCTTTTCCAACCATTCTGTGGATTAAATTTTTGTTACCTTCTGTAGGTTTGATAGCACGATCAAACAAGCCTCATCCTCTAAAAAGTTCTTGGACACCAATTGAAAAAGTTATAAAATCTTTTCAATATAAAAGAAAGTAACAAATTTCAATTGAAAGAAATCGGTTTCCAGTTGTTCCGTCTGAAGGAATAACTATTCATAAAAGTCAGGGCGCCACATATAATAAAGTTGTAGTTCATACTCGACCTAGAATGCCTAGAGCTTCAATATATGTCGCTTGTCTTCAGATATTTATGTTTTGTAGAAACTTAGAGTTGTCCTTGCGAAAGTTTTGATATACCAGGATTTACTCCAATTAACGAGCTGAGGATAGATAGCACGGAAACAAGCAACAGAAATAAACGGGGCAATATATTATGTGCAAAGCATAGTATTGCTAGCTCTTTTGAATCAAAGGCTGTAAAGAAAATTTATTCAGGCCTCAAAGCTTTAGAAACGGTTTTGTTTAAATGAATAGTAATATTCTGGTTCTATACAGAAATTCAGCTCTGTCAGACATTTTATTGTAGAACTTCAGGAAGTCCTTACTTCTGAGTTATGCAATGAAAATGTGCTAATTTTTAGAAATTTAAACATTTGTTTAAGGTCTACAGGGACTAGAATAAGAAATCTGCTCCAAGAAAATAACTTTAGTTCCCTGCTTGATGTAGAATATTCAACTACATCTTCCGTCTTGTGTCTCTATTTCCAACTAAAGTTTTTAGACTTAGTGCAATAGTTCTTCATTTTTTTTCTTTATTAGCCAATAATGAATGCTGGGTCTCAAAATAGGTGGTGGTGTTGCAAATAGTACGCTCAGTAGGCCAATTATGTTGACCATAACCTGAGCGAAGCGCGCGAAACACATTCTTTACAACGTGAATTTTCGTAATAAAGTTGAGCGAATTGTAAACGTTGTTCCGGCGTAAGCCTTTCCATGATGAAATGTTAACAATACTGAAGAAAAATAACATGACAGCTTGACACGACGCACGCGTGATCTGTCAAAAAAGGGCTATTCCAAACAGTACCTCTACTTGGAGCACCCGTTACCTTGAATGAATAGGAAATATTTCAGTGCACTAACTATTCACAGGAATAACATTACGCAAGAAGCCAATGATATCCAACTCAGTCATAGTTTTAATTTGGACGCAATTATTAGTCGCCCGGACGGCTTATGCAGACAAGCGTCCTCTGCATATATACGACCAGTAATTAAATGTAATTCAACAAACAATTCTTAACTTTGAAAATAACTATAATAAAGTAAACTCAAAGTTAACTCTGACTATTAATAAGACCATAATATCCTATGGAAATAGTTCAGAAATGACAAAGGAATATAACAAAAGACATCAGGAAGATGCGCTTAGGATTTTTGTAACAGGATTGAATTATCCTTCAAATGATATTTTAATGGCTGTTGCGTCAAGCATCTTTCGAATCTAAAATAAAATATATGTTAAAAATAAACTTAAAAAAAAAATAAAAATTAATTGAATTATGTTGAAATGAATTATAAATGTTTTATGCTATAAAAATACTTACCTTTACTATACTATACTTATTACAGAACACATTATCTATTATAATAATCTTTTACAATGAATTAACGAAACTGTCGAAATATACTTCTACTTACCCCTTTTCTAATACATACTTACCACTAGTTTAAGCCGTTAGGTTAAGGTTTAGGCTAAATTATAATATACTTAAATAAAGAATTCTATTGTATGATACCACACTCGCGAACGCACGTCTTTTAGCTTAACCGGAGATTTTCCTTTCGTCACGGCACTTTTTATTTAAGTTGCGCATCCCAACATTTTATTTCATCTCAAAAAGGTTTGAGATTTTTCAATGGCTAAGGGACCAAATGATTTATTCAATGCATTGGCTAAAGCCTAAGAAATAGAATCTAATCGAATTAGACTCCAATTCTCTAGTGAAATCAGTCAAACCAGAAATCAAGTGAATAGGTATAGAAATGTTTAAAATTATATTAGAACTTTTCGTAAACAAAAAAATTGCAACCAACACTCGAATAGGTTACGCTTTGACCAGTGTCCCGACAGCACAGCAGTTATAGAAATTTTGGATGGCAAACTCAACCTAAACCAGAACCAATGCAGGTAGATATTTTAGACCAATATTGGCAATAATCATCAACCCCATACTTACCAACAAAAAGTTAATCATATTCAAGAGAATGCTTTTTTAGACGAAGCAACCCCTTTCTAAGTATTGATAGGCACAGGAGCAGCAAATTGCTGTAAACCAAATATTCTACCCAATAGAGACTTATTACAAATTGCGAAGCGCGTAAGCACCATTGTTATAATGCATACATTTTTAACCACTTAACGAGATTTTATGAGATTGAGAATCTAGAAAGTGATATTCTAATATGAATGAATTTGCTAAGCAAAACGAAAATACAACTAAATTTTGAAAATAATACACTCTTAATAAACGGGAAGAGAGAAAAATTATATACCTTTGACGAAAATGAGAACCATGAAAGAAAATAAAAAGTATAATTTGAAAGGAACATGGGAAAATAGATACCGCATAACCTGTTACGGACAGTCCTATCTGATTTAAGCAATACTTTTAACCACTATCAACCAATAAATGCGTTAATCAAGAAATATAAAAATTGTTTAAACAAATAAAGTCTTCATAATATCGCTATATGGGGGGTTTCAAAGAAAAGAACCATTTAAAACGGTACTCCCAAAATGAGAATGGTAATCGATTACAAGAAGTTAAGTAAAAAAACGATAGCGGACAAATATCCAATACCAGATTGTAATGTGATACTGTCAAACTTAGAGAAAACGAAAGTTTTCTCCACAATCGATTTAAAGTCTGGATTCCATCAAATATTGATGAAACCAGAAGGTATTGAGAAGACAGCGTTTTCCGTAAACAATGGCAAATACGTATATATTCAGATTAATTTTGGTTTGCGTCTATATAGACGATGTCATAGTTTACTCTAGCAACGGTGATGAGCACTGTGACCATCTAATTAAAATAACAATTACATTACAACAATCGCATATGAAAATATCATTTGAGAAATCAAAATTTTTCAAGTCAAATGTAAAATTATTGGGATACCACATAGCTTATAATGTTATTAAAACGGATGAAAAAAATTCGAGACAATAAAAAATTGTTCTGTAACAAGGTCACTAAGGCAACTAAGAAGTTTCTTAGGAATGAAAGGCTATTATAGGAAGTTTTTGTACAAGTATACATAACAAAGCCATTAACAAAGTATTTAGCAGGAGAAGGTTGTAATCTAATTAGATGAACAAGAATTAAACGCCGTAAGTAAAGTGAAGAACGAATTAATTCAACAAGTAGAATTGTCCCAACCAGACTTCAATCAAAAATTTATACTAACGACAGAAGCATCAAATGAAGCGATCGGAGCCGCCCTTTCGCAGAACAATAAGCTTATTACGTTTATTTCAAAAACTCTTAATGCTACTGAACGCAATTATGGACCAATGAAAAGGAATTGTACGCAATCGATCGGGACTTAAAGTTTCTACGAACTTACTCTTACGGAGTAGTTGACTTAGAAATTCATACGGCCCATCAGCCTCTAACTTTCGCGGTAGCGACGAAAAATCCAAACTCCAAAATTAGATTATATATAAGCCAGAAAACATCAATCACGTAGCAGGCGCGCTCTCTAGGCAATTTTTGAACAATAATGATTTAGAAAAGGGAAACGACGACTTAAAAGATACAGCACATTCAGTAGAAAGTTTAGATATTTTTCACATTAAAACAATCAATAAGCTCCAAAATTCATTTCCTAAACAAATAATATTAAATAGGGATAAAATAAATTATCATTTTAAAACGAAAATCTTTAATTCGTTTCATCATCATATAAAATATAGGACTTAGAGTTTTTAAAAGTAATTATAACAGATCCATTGAATAAGAACTTGCTAAAAGAAATCCATTGTAATTCAGAAGACTTATATGAAGTAAAGCAGATTTTAAGAAACAGAATAGCAAGCAAAATTTTTCACACAGATATTATATAATGGCAATTGATGTAATTAACGAGGATGACCAAGAGAAGATTCTGAGACAAACTCACACGAGAACACATAGAAACTATAAGAAAAGTATTCAAGGATTATTACTTGCCTGAAATGAAAAAACAATTTTAACAATTTGTTAGAAACTGCAATATCTGTAATAAAAATAAACAAGACAGAAACCCCAAAAAAATTCCAATTTGCAAGGCACCAATTCCAAACAAAGAGGGAGAGAATATTCATATTGATATATTTTTTGCGCTAAACTTAAAATCCTTAACACTAATAGATGCGTACTCCAAATTTATAGTAACTAAACATATCAACGATAAAACTAAATTTCAGGATAAAGTATTAGAAGCAATACAATGCTTCCCAGAAGTAAAAAGAATAACTTGGGATAATGAACCGGGATTTAGTTCAGGGACACTCTACAATAGAAATATCAAAATGCATCAGGGATGAATTTTGAATAGTGAACGATTTAAAAGTAATAATTAGGGCTGTCCAATTCTATAATCAAACAATACACTCAGTAACAGGTAAAAAGCCCATATAAGTTCTTTATAATAAAGTTAAGCGTGATAATTTACCAAATAAGCTTAAAGACACAAGTGATAACATTGAGTAACAGAAATAAAAACAGACAATTACGAACATTTTCTGAAAATTAAGTAATAGTTGAGAAGAACAACCAGTATCAAAGTAAGCTAAAACCCAGGTATAATAAACACGTGGTCAAAGAAGATTTAGGAAATAAAATAATAATAAAAAATAGGAACAGATTAATAATATAATATAAATTAATTAGATAAAATAAAATTAGTCGAAAGATACGTTAGATTTACTTATTTATTTAACACAACACTGTATGAACAACCAGTTGACAGATAAGAAGCTCTAGTACTTAAGGTAAAGGAACCTAATCCAGGTTTGATCGCTAAAATAAAGCGTATTCGAACCCAGATAGGCACACTTATCCCACATGATAGAATTCAGAAAAGAGGATTGTTTAAATTTGTCGGAACGGGATTGAAGTATATAAGTGGATTAATGGACGATGAAGATCGTCAAGAAATAGAAGGGAAATAAAAAGTAAACACAGGAAATACACATAATGTAAATCAACCTCCAGAAGAATATTACGAGAAAGTTAATTACGAAATTCAAACCACTACCGCAAACCTAGAATAAATAAAATGATGTTTATGAATAATTCCACACTTTTGTATACTTAATTATATAGTAAATATGTGGCGACACCCACATTAAACATATCTTTAAACCTATTTAATTCAACTAAGGGTTAAGTTATTCTACATTCTACTTTACATGGTTATCCTAAGAGTTACAATACTGCTATCTCTCTTACATACATTAATTAAGCTATCATAATAATGCATTACACATTAAGAGCATCATCACCTGATGCTGATCACCCTTACCTAAATACGCATATAAGATATTAAATCCTAAGCTAAGCATATCAGTTGGATTTTGGCTATCACGTCACCCAGACGTGTATTAATAAACCAATATACCACAATTGGTGACCCCGACGTGGACTTTAGCGGTCACCTTGGATCAACGGTGGAGTTTATAGCAAACACCCCGTTACCAATAACGGCCACACTACTGTCATCCATCATCTGGCAGCGTTTTGCATTATCAGTGCAAACATTTCGTAACTATTATTTCGTTATATTTAAATATTATCCGAAATGCCTGCCGACGATGGCACACCGCACATGCCGAAAGCATTCATATTCCTGGGAAAAAATTCCAGCACTGCGACAATACGTGACCCAACCTTCAACCAAGACAGGCCAGCCCTCTGGTTTACAAAGCTATAATACAGTTCCGCAAGAACAACGTCACGAACGAAGTGGACAGATTCCACCATACAATCCCGTTGATTGACACACGCATAGCTGCCGACGCTGAAGACATCATTTTAACCAACCGATAAGCCATATCAACGTTTAAAGACCACACTAATTGCTTGCTACTCAAAGTCGAGAGAAGCAAAAATCCTACAACTTCAGGACGGTGAGTGTCTCGGCGACAGAACGCCCTCCCAACATCTTCGACACCTTCGAAGTTTAGTACCAGACATAAATGAGGAAGTGTTAAAAACAAGGTGGCTCTCACATGTATTTTTTTTTCTGTTTTGTACTTTTCTTATAATTTTTTTCTTATTTCTGTTGTAATGACTTGTAAAGTACAATATTTTTTGTTTTTCCTTTTCAAGAAAAAACAAATAGAACCAATTGTTTGCCGACTCTTGAGCACGCAACGTACATGGCAATTCAAGATATATGGTATTTCACACACTTCTAACGATTGGCTTAGGAATTTATTAATTGTTACTACGAATGCAAGGCACACTGGAAACTGGACACGTTGGGATTCAAAGGAATGTCAGTTGGTAATAGTGGTATTCTTGGAATTAGCACATCTGCGCCTTTGAACTTTCCTATGATTGTAGTCACTTCAATTAAATTTTGTATAGTTTTTTAACAGCAAGTCTTGTTCCGTTGCACAGTTTTGGTTTGGGTAATAGAGATCATAAATGAACGAGAAGGTGTAAATTGAAATTTGTATGATGCTCGATTGGACGGCTAACAGAGCTGAGAAACTCCGAGCAGGGAGTTCACCATTTTATGTGGTATTAGTTCTCTGGCAGAAAAACGTATCTACTAACATAAAGAGACAAATGAAATACTTTAAACAAAAAATACAAATGCCACTTCACATATGCGTGATTTTTTTTGTCATATTATATAAACGATTGTTGTGAAGAAAAATAGATATAATTTGATTTTTTTGCACAAATGCGGCATGATAAAATGCGTAAGATTTACTTTTTAAAAAATTTTCTAATTTCAATTGTTACAAAATTATTAATTTTTGTATGTACATACAGTACATACATATATATGTACAATATATACATCAATATGGAATCGAACAAGCATTGATTTGCCGTCGGCAATTTTGATGTCATTAGCGTGTATGTATGTATGTATTATATGTACACATGGAGGAATAGAATTTTTGATATTATCACTTATCAAGACATGTGCCCGCACTGCTCTATATGTAAGTATGTATGTGCAAATATGCGTATGACATTGCAAAATAAGTAGTACATACACAAATCTACATATTATATATGCGTACAAATGTAAATACATATGTCAGCTATAAGATGAAAATACAAACATTTTTGTACAAAAACAACTATTTTCTCAAATAGCTTGAGCAGCATCAGAAATCAATATGGCAGCCAAATTGAAATATCCTCAATTTGTGGTAAATCACAAAACAACAACATTTTCATTCATGAACGCAGGCGCACATGTACAAAGCTAAGACTTTCATTCATAACATCTGCCCGAGCATGCGCAAACCCACAAAACACAGCAAAAATTTACAAAAGTGCCAACAAAGCTTTTGTCGATTTAAAATATTTTACAATTCTAAAATATTTTACCGTGGCTCGCAAAAAGCTGCGCCAATATGTATATATGTTCATACATAAACATACATTAGCTTCGGTCATTGGTTCACCGTTTCAACGTTGAATGTACATATCTACTACATATGTTGTTTGTAGACAAGCTTACAAATATTTTTCGTTCATATTTCTATACATGTATACATATGTAAGTAATTAGGTATGATATGGAAATGCCGACGGCAAAACACAGTTCTGTACTTTTGTCCATAATGGTGTCAAGTACATGAACTATTTTAAAAAATATATCAAAATATTTTAATTAAAAATTATAGTTTCGAAATTATTACTAATAACTCATAATAAAGTAAGAATGAATAAGCATAAAAAAATTTAAAAAATTATAAATAAAAGGGAATATATTTCAAATGGCATATCAATATTCCCTAGTTGGGCATATCATCATAATTTAACCGTTTGGGCTTGTTAAGAAAGCTGTATTTGTACAGATTCTCCGCTGTTATAAAAGCGAGAAATGAGAAAAGATTTTCCTGCTTGTGAGGTGAATTCCCCGATTGAAGATTTACAAATGTTCGCTGTTGAACTTGCACCTTCTCGTTCATTTAAGATCTCAGGTGGTAATCCTGGCAAATCCAGTGGATGAAGATCTACAAATATCGCTTTTGAACCTGCATCTTCTCGTTCATTTACGTCCTGAGGTGGTAATCCTGGCAAATCCAATGAATTTAGAAATTCAATCGGAAAATTTACTTCTTCACTTGTATCAATAATGGAATCGATCGACTTGAATGTATCACCAATTTTACACTGAATGTTTATATTTAAATCATCTACATCCTTAGTTTTTTCTGCCAAAATGGCTCGTTTGCTCAACCAAGCATGATTTTTATAATTCACACTAATATTTGAGAACACTTTTAATAATAATTCTTCATTTAAATTTGTGAATTGACAAAAATTCAGTAGAAGAGTCAACAGGAATTCTCCCATTGCCAATGCATTTGAAAACACGCCGGCCGATATATCATTTTGCAACTCCACTCGCAAATTGGCTGTTAATTTAAGTTTTTATAGTTTCGCAACCTGTTGCTACAGAGTACAATAGTTTTGTTCACCTAACGGTTGTTTGTATCACTTAAATCTAATGGAGTTAGATATAGGGTTATATATATATAAATGATCAGGATGAAGAGACGAGTTGAAATCCGGGTGACTGTCTGTCCGTCCGTCTGTGCAAGCTGTAACTTGGGTAATAGTTGAGATATCTATATGAAACTTGGTAGACATGTTTCTTGGTACCGTAAGACGGGTGATATTGCAAATAAGCGTAATCGGTGCACTGTCACGTCCACAAACCGCCATTAATTTAAAACAAATACATTGACAGAACTAAGCTCCACAATAAGATACAAGACTGTTTGGTACACAGGATCACATTAGGTAGGGGCATCCGCAGTTAAAATTTTTTTTAAAAGATGGCGTGGTCCCGCACCCTTATAGGTTTAATGTGCATATCTCCTAAACCGCCCAAGCTATAATAACAAAATTGACTGAGAACAAATGCTTTTAGCATTTCTATCCACAATGTGAAAATGGGCGAAATCAGGTGACAACCCCGCCCACTAAGAATATAACGGTACTGTTAAAAGCTACTAAAAGCGCGATAAAACAAGCACTAAACACGCCAGATACATTAAATTTTATCTCTGGGATAGTATGAGATGACTTTATAGGAACCACGTTCAAAATTAGGCAGTGGGCGTGGCACCGCCCACTTTTAGGTGAAAACCCATATCTTGGGATTTGTTTAACCGTTTTCAACCAAATTCGGTACATAATAATTTTCTCAAATTTCTATTTTATAGTGCGAAAATGGGCGAAATCGGAATACAAATACGCCTATTTCCCATATAACATCATTTTAAATTATATCTGATTCTTTCACTGTCCACTGTGCAAAACAAGCAACAAAGATTGTATCGGAGTAAAACTTTGCGTAAATAATGCGTTAAAGTTTATCATCTTGTGATCAAAAATTGTCTAAATCGAAGTAATACTATTTAAGCCCCTAGATACTGAATATGTAGACCCCAGTGCCTATAGTTGACTTTTTACCGAAAATATCGTTCAGTGTGTAAGATACAATTGAAATTCATATAATAAAATAAATAAATGAAACTCTATTGATATTATTGATAATATTGTAGTATGTTGTACTTCCTTTAATATAAAATTTTACCAACACTTGAAGTAATTCCCCGGGCTTGGATCCTTGCAAGTTGCCAGAGTATAAAACGTTCGCTTTCACCCGAGCTTAAAACTTCCTGACTTGTTTTACGTATCTTCATAAATTTGATGCCTTCAAGCAAGCATTTATTTCATCAGCAGCTGTTGATCTGGGAATGACTGGTTTACGCCAAATCACTGTTACCATCAAATAATCGCACCTCCGAAGAGGTTCTAATAACTACGTAAATCTTTTAAGGTTCAATCGAGTACCTCTAATGCCAGAGACACACATATACCACATATTGTAGTATAGCACAGAAACCATATGTGTGTCAATTGTATTTTAAATTTTTATTCCAAAGCAAATGGAGTTCTGTACTACAATGGTGGTCAAGAAATCATTGAAATTATGTGGTGTTTTGCAATGTACTACGATGGATTGCACACCCAAAGTTTTAAGCTCTTCTGTCCCAATCATATGTTTTCAGTCATTTTGACATATATCAAAAAGAGTTTAAATTCAAAATAAACGTGAATAAGAAACCCGACCATAAAAAAATAATTGAATTGTGGGGAATTTATATTTATTTACATGTGCACTTACCTGGAAAATGAACATGGAGTTTTGCTTGCAACGAACGAACTGCGAAATCGCACAAGCAATTGGCATAGAAGTACAGGTTTGTAAACAATTTCACAAAATAGTACCATTTGGCTTAATGAAATATATTAGGCAGGAAAGAAATATGATAGGCCCAAGTGGAGGTACTCCATCGAATTGGGAATACTACGAAGACGTTCACAAAATAATTGGCGCATACGCATATCAAATGAAATAAATACATATTTGTACGTACATATAAACATATGATTAAAAAATTTGTATTTCACAGATTTCGTTCCATTGGATGTTTCGGGGGAAACGTTGTCGAATGATGATGAAGTAGAAGAGATACCATCAACTTCGTCGTCTGCGAAAAAGAGAAAGAGAAACAATGATGAAAACTTCCTCGAAATCGCTAAAAAGGAGCAAAAGATAATGGAAGAATATCTTAATAAATCTAATAAAAACGAAGAGAAGGATATTGATTCAATGGAACAAACCAACACCATTCCTTTGGCTATATTAAATAAAAATACATAACGAGAAAGAAAAAAATGTTAAAAATATCAATTGTGTAAAAAGTATGTAATGTAATATAATATATTAGAATATATTAACCATATATTAAATAAAATACTAAACCAAAGTACTTAAATGTGTATATTCTGTCAATGAAACTGTAAAGAATACATACTTTGTAAAAAAGATGTCATAATTGCTTGCCTGATGGCTATTCCATCTTCCATCATTGAATCCATTTCTGATTAATGTTGTAATTTCTGTTGTTGCATATGTTATGTAAAACGCAACAAGCAATTATGTTAACGTTTTTTATACTGACCTTCAGACCTGTTTTTGTTTAATTTTTTAGTATATATTATATCAGTTATAAACTATCAATAGTGGAACTTTCTTACCTCGACCAATGCGCCTAAAGCGGGCTTTTAAATGTCCAAAAACGTTTTCTACATCTCGTCGAACCAATGAAATACATTTATTGAATTCTTTTTTACTTTCCGGTTGTTCGATTATAAATGAATATGGTTTCATAACAATTTCCGATAATTTACAAGCAGAATCTCTAACGGCAACCATATATGGCGCCATAACATAGTGGGAACCCCAAACGATTAAAACCACGTCTAAACTCATCGACTTTTGTGTCAGTTGGAGAATATGCGTCAAACACTTCGTATATTTCCGTACAAACGTCTACCATAGTGCGTCCCACTCCACAGAGACTTCCAATCGTTCTATACTCAGCAAAAGAAGCTAATATATACAGAGCTACAGCAATTCGTTTATATAAAGGTATGGCGTTACGCCAGAAGGTGTTATTTTTGCGCACATTTTTTAGTCGATCCACTAAATAGAAGAGAGTCTCACGGCTCACTCGAAACGTATTATAAGAACGATGTGGTTCACTTAACAATTGGATCACCTGATTATGTTTGAATAGTTTAGATACTTGCACAAAACATCGTAAATGAAAATATCCGAGTAATGGGTATAAATTAACTAATTTAATTTATAATTTTTCGGGAGTTTACAAACTTTAAATTATTTATTAATAGATTAAATTGAGGATCCAAAAATTACGTTCGCGAAACAATCGTGTTGCGTTGTTGAATTACATAAACATTGATGCGGTGACCGCGATGGTTGACATATAAAGTTGCAGCTTTCGTGCCAGCTGTTCAATCGGATACGTTTTAAGCGAACGATGATCAAGTTCCTTTTGTATAGTTGGTAAGGTCAGATGTCATCGTACGTGGTGTTCTTAAATGTTGAGTATGGTGTTGTCGTCGTTTGTGGTGAGATCCTGTGAGTGTTCTCAGGTTTGTTCCCAGGTGTGGTGTATATGGTGGTTTATATTAGGGCGTGCCATTAGTTTTCTAGGTGGAGCAGCATATTTGGAGGCGGAGGTTTATACTCATTTAAACAAGGTTTATGTAAGAGTGGTTGAAGTTTCATGACAATTTCTCGTCAAGCTGTACGATTGATAGCACCACGTTGATTCACTTCATTTTCATAATTTCCTAGCAACCAAATTTAAAGATTTTAAATTCACCATCAACAGATGGCAACAATGCTCCTGCACGGTAGTGAATATGTCCTTGAATCTGAGTGGATTTGTATATTAATAAGCTATTTAGAGAATAATAAATACCTTAAAAATTGAATTAAAAACACGTTTTTTAATTACATTGGGAACATACTGATATAACTATGAATGTTCTGCATGAAATGCATTGATATAGGATCTTGCCCTGAAAGAAATGAATTTAGTTGTTCAGGTGGTGTGATTAGTTTCGGTAATTTGAACTTTACGCGTACGCCGACCGGTATAACCCGCCTTACTGGTGGCATTTTTAACAATATTCACGACCCAACTTCTAAACTCACATCCAATCCCACAAATCACGGTTTAACCTCTAAATTATTATTAAAACAACGTCCGTCAGCCTCATCCAATAGTTTTTTTTTCGATTTTAAAACAAACGAAAACAATCAATCAAATAACTTTTTCTGTTACTTGCTTTTCGTTTTAGTAGGTTGGGGTGTTGATGCTTACTTGTCACCGATATTAATTATTTTTTTTTTTGTATACTAAACTTGCCGTGACAATAAAGAACACAATATGAAAAAGAATTATCCAATTTGTCGCTGGCGTTCTGAAGTTATGCGTGAACATACATTACGCTGATTATCTGGTCTATATCTATAGTCAGAGTTGAATAAATTACTAAAAAAAAATGGAATAACAAACTATTAGAAAACATAATGTACATTGAAACTAATATTATTAGATTTAAAGAAATATTAATGGGAAGCCAAAATAAACTTCTTAGTAGAGATACATATAATAATGGATGAAGATAGTTTAAATTTTAATATTACCTTAGAAAAGTTAGGTAAAATCAAAGTTGTAATTGTCACTGAAAACGGAAACTTTGTAATACTAGTTAAGATTCCATGTTTTACTAAAGAAACATATCAATTAATCTATATTCAACCTATAACCAACGTTAATCAAACAGAAATTTATATAAAGAGTGTTTTTTTAGAGGTATAGAACTTTAAATTACAATAAAACAACGATGGATTATTCGATTGACATAAATTCTATTTATCCGAAAGATAATCTTGTGGCATTACATTTTAAATATGATTTCTGACACGGCGAATCTTGTCTTCCAAATGGTTAAGCGTTTGTGGCTTATAAGCATAGACCAATGACTTAACATAACCCCACAGAAAGTAGTCTAGCCGTGTTACATCACAAGATCTTGGAGGCCAATTCACAGGTCCAAAACGTGAAATTACGCGGTCACCAAATGTGTCTTTCAATAAATAGATTGTGGCACGAGCTGTTTGACACGAGCTGTGTGACATGTTATATAAATAAATATACAAGTATTAGTATAAAGTGAACAAAAAAAAAAACAAAAACCAGAACGGTGCATTTATTGAAACAAAAAAAAAACAACAAAGAGTGCCAGTATATAGTAAATGTACATATCTATACATACATGTATACATATCCATAAATTAGTGAAGTTACACATACACATATATGACATAAAAATGAAAAAGCGGCAAAACATATTAAATGTGCAAAAAACATAATATCAAACTGGCGCGAAACCAAAAAACAAAATAAAAACCCAAAGGGGACGAAACCCAAAAATATACAAACAAAAAAAAAAATTATAATAATCAAAATCGGGCGCGATATTAACAACAAAAATATATCTACAGCAGCAAAAACACAGGGAGAGAGCTGCACAACAAGCAACGGAACAGCTGGCGTTCAGGAAAAAAAGGAAAAGCGAAAAACCCCCAAAAAACACACATACATATCCCCAAAACCCCCTTGAGGCGAGACAAAGTAAGTGTATCGTTTTCAGCTTTTATTAATTATATATGTATGTTTGGTAATCCTGTATACTGTTAAAACTAGTAAAATTAACAGGTTGAAAAAACGGGTACAGGTAACGTTAACGAGAAATATACAAAAAACGGAACTTAAAATTTGAGTACTATACAATACTTATACTTTTCCTAACGTTAACGAAAAATTCCATAAAACCGATATATAAAAAAAAAAAATCGGGTGAATATACTTATATACATATATACATACATATAATTATTTAATACTTATATTTACATATATATGTATAGATATATATTAAGTTAGCAAATTATTGCTTGCCTTGACTTCTGCGCTTACATTTGTATCTAATATATATACCCACAACAACCTAAAAAAAAAATTCAAGTAAATATAAATAAGGGGAAGAATTGAAGGATGAAGGAGAATGGTGTTGCTTATGGTGGAAAATATAAAAATGTAGTAAAGGGTTGCCGGTCGGTATTGTTGTGCGTTTTGAAGGTCGGTAACATATTACAACATAGTTGTAGCCTGTCGGTACTGGATGATGTTGCCACAGTATCCCCCTCCAGACTGGGCGATCGCTTATGATCGTAAGTCCTGCGTAACGAAGGAACTTTACGACGTTCTTGCCCAGTTGATATGGTTTGACGGGTCGGTGGCGATAAATCTTCGTACGGGAGCTATGCTATGGTTCTTATATGGGGAATAGGCGGGGCTGTCACTCCATTTCATCCATTTTCACACCGTCGATAGAGTTGCTAAAAACATTTGTTCCCAGTGAATTTTGTTATTATAGCTTCAGTGGTATAGCAGATATCTTCTATACATTACACACACAATAAACGTATAAGGGGGCGGGACTACGCCCACTTTAAAAAAACAATTTTAACTGCAGATGCCCCTCCCTAATGCGATGCGGAATAACGGTACTGTTAAAAACTACTAAAAGCGCGATAAATCAAGCACTAAACAAGCCAGAGACATTAAATTTTATCTCTGGGATGGTATAAGATAATTTTACAGGAACCACGTTCAAAATTAGATAGTGGGGGTGGTACCGCCTACTTTTAGGTGAAAACCCATATCTTGGGATCTGCTTATATTTCTATGTTTCCATATAACGGTACTGTTAAAAAATACTAAAAGCGCGATAAGCCAAGCACTAAACACGCCAGAGACATTTAATTTTATCTCTGGGAGGGTATGAGATGACTTTATAGGAACCGCGTTCAAAATTAGATAGTGGGCGTGGCACCGCCCACTTTTAGGTGAAAACCCATATCTTGAGATCTGCTTATATTTCTATGTTTCCATAAAACGGTACTGTTAAAAAATACTAAAAGCGCGATAAACCAAGCACTAAACTTGCCAGAGACATTCAATTTTATCTGTGGGAGGGTTTGAGATGATTTTATAGGAACCGCGTTGAAAATTAGTCAGTGGGCGTGGCACCGCCCACTTTTAGGTGGAAACCCATAACCCCGTGATTAACGTTCATGGGCGAAATCGGACTACAACTACGCCTATTTCCCATATAACACCATTTTCAATTCCATCTGATTCTTTCACTTTCCAGTATGCAAATCAAGCAAGAATGATTATATCGGGGTAACACTTTGCGTGAATAATACGTTTAAAG